AACCATCTCCAAACTAAGAGTTACTTAGCCTGACGGACCACCCTTACTTATACAATTACTTGTGTAGATTTTTTTTTTTTTTAAGGGGGGAAAATCATCGAATGACTGCTCCCGCCTGGGTGAGGCGGGAGGGAGTGTCAGACTCTTACTGACTAAAAACCACCCCGTTCCTTCTCCTGCACGTCGAGCCGGAGCCCCGGTTACCCGTTAGGTTCTCCGCGACACTTGTGTAGATTACCGAGCATTTTTATTAAATCTATGGCCGTTTTCTCCCCTGAATGAACCATTTTTTAACTAAGAGTCACTTATCGTGAGAAGTCTTGTGGCACTTATAGGTTAGTGAAAATCCAAATAAAGTTTCGTATTATTTTTCTTAACTTAGGGGATCCTTAAGTAGAGGTTGATGAAAATCTCGTGAAAACAGTCATGATACTGTAATATTTGATATATCATCTATTTTCTGTAATCATTTAATTTAGGGAATACTTATTTTATTAATGTTCTCGGAAACCTTCCTTTGTTTCAAAGCCCCTGAAGGTTCCCAGAAATCCTGGATACTTCACATCTTCGCTATAAATTAGTAAGAAGTTTAAATTTTCAAACCAAACAAAGATGTTTTCATGGTTCTGGTGTTAATATTGAATAACGTATTTTATTTTTCTTTTCTTCAAATTTTTAGTGCTTTGTTAGCGACCAGCGCGACACCTGAGCAAAAGATTTGACAACAAATTGAAAAATTAAAGGTAATAAAATTATGCCCAGAGAGGGTAACAGACGGAGATTGATAGTTGAGTTCTTAGTCAAAATTCACTTGTTTATATTTGACGGGGTGACGTTTGACCACTATCTCGCCTGCCGCTGTTGCCAAAAACCATTTAGCGCTTGTCGACATATAGAATAGAAAACGAAATTATATGGAATTGACGTAAATTTTGACACTTGTCAGTGTCATCCCCATACATTTTGATTTCTACTCTCTCTGTAGACAAGCGCTAAAGTGGTGTTTGGCTAAAGGCCAGGGTAAGCAATGATGCGTCCTGCAATAGAGCCCGTCTACCCATCAGCATCCTATTCACTAGGGCCTTGAAGACACCCAGGTTAAACCCTTCAGTAAACACAAACTCTGTCAAAGAGTACTCCTTAGCAGTACCCACGAGTGGGTGACGCTTTGTCGATTGTCATGTGGTACGATGATGGAAATGACTAAGGGGAAGCAAGTTATCGCGTTTCGCGTGCGCCTCAAAGAGCCGATGATAGGGATGATAGGGGATAACTGCCGATATGCAGCTGCACTTAACGGGCTAGGGCTCTGGTTCGAAGGGCAGGAGTAGGAACGTGGTGTTTTTTACTCAGTTTGATTTACTTACTTTCTTTTTATTTTTTTGAATACTCAAATCAATTTCCCCTCTTAAAAGAATCTCTTGAATCAAGTTGTCTAATTCCACTATTACCTACCTATAGGTTAGGTAAACTTTTCTAATGTAAACCTTTTTTATAGCAGTGTTGCAGCTAAAACAGTATGAGAGGGTTAATAAATTACGAGCCTCAGTGCTGATATGTCCCGTAGTCCATGAAACTAGCGGCAAACTGCCAACCGACTGCATGCCAAAATAAGTGCAATGTTACTAGATAAGTACAGACTATTATGTTTTTATTTACATAGATACCTTATTTTAGTACCTACTGGAATATATTTTTGACAATTGCTGTAACAATATGATAATATCGTTGTTGTTATTATTAGGTGTGACATTTATGATAATAATATTATGTTTGACATTCATGTCAAAATTGACATTTATAAGATATTGTGTGACATTTTATGACATTTATGAATAATATTGTAACATTTTTCTCTTTTAATTTGTGCATAAATTTTTTACATTACCCCCGAAGGGATAGTCAGATGTGCACATCTCATTACATTACGGCACTTAATGCCATTGTACAATGTAACCTACATTTCACTATTTATGTTACGATTCCCATATAATAGGGGTCTCCCCTGTTATATAGCAAGGGCACAACTCCAGACCCCATGCTAATACTAGGAAAATTTTCAAAAACCCAGTAATATTTTGCCTGACCTGGGAATCTAACCTTTTGCCCGGCAATGGCACTTACGATCACTCGGTATTTTTAGTATAATTTTTTCTTGCAGATAGCATTGTAATTTTGTAAGTACCTACAATACTTATTGGGGATTCAGGGATTGGTGAAGGGGGGGGGGGGTGTAATTGGGCCTCCGGTAACCTCACTCACACGAAACACAACGCAAGGGTTACTTCACATCGGTTTTCTATGAGGCCGTGGTATCACTAAGGTTCAGATGGCCCATTCGTTCCGAAGCATGGCTCTGCCACACTTACAAAAAACTATTAAAATAATAATACCCCTGGTTTTAAGGCATTGGCTGCCAATAAAAAACTATTGAAGGCAAATCCTCCGCTAATGTCGGTCACCAGTGACTGCCATGGCGTTTAACGTGTTAAGCTGTCTCCCCAACATTTTTCAGTCAAATCGTTAAGGCCGTTTGTGAGTTATAAATACTGTAACTAACATTATATTCCTTAAATTATTATTTTTTTTTTTTGTGAAATGCAGTTACTGCCAATCTGTTATCTGCCTGTCATCTTTTGTCGTTAACTGGTAAATGAAAATCTCACTAATAAATATTCAATTCGAAATATAAAAATACAACAAATGAAATTATCATTATTACAAATTCCAAACGAAAATATTTCATTAAAATCATTTCTGTCGACGCAAAGTACCTACGAAATTCATTTCAATAGAAAAAATATCTTTTTCGGAACGTATTCACAGTCTGTTTCAATTATACCTTAATTGCATTGTCAGCAATTTAATTAAACGTTTATTGTTAGCTCACGGTAGCTTTAAGGGCGTTTTCACACAATTTACACTGACGTACTACGGTAAGAAGGTTTGTCTCACTCAGCCTTAATAGCGTGATAAAGTGTAAGCCACAATATTTTACCCTGATTTACGTTTCACGCTAAATACTTGAGCCTCAAGTGTTTGGAATTACAATTTAGTAGAATCAATGTCATGAACATGAGACCTTGGTATTCCATACTTTGATTTTGTCGATTAACTCGTCGAGTACCGTCATTATAGACACGATTATAGAACAATAGGTTGCGGTCACCGGTGACCGCTTGGTGTTTGAAAGTTTAAGTTACGTTTAAGTAGCAGATATTTTTACGTAATACAATTTTAAACGTCAATAACTCTGACTGAACAAAAAGAGGGTTTTTAAACTGTTTTCCAAGACCCTAAAACGAGCAGAAATGAACATCCATTTGTATTTTCAAATCCGAAAAGTGTTCTAAACGCCATATTTGTTAGAAAAACCGTTACTTTCAAAGCAAACTCTGGCAGATACGTTTATTGGACAAAAAAGGATCTAGCTGGCATGTTGTTATCCTAACAGCCTAGTACAAAAACTTTATTCGTTAGGCAATATAAACAAAACCTTGTGATAGGTACGCAGCTAACAAACTAGGTCATCTGAATTTGTTCTATCGAAACTGGCGTGTATTACCAATATCACGCCAGTTTTCTAAAATGGGGAACTGGCTATGAAGTATTTTGTAATATTTGTAATGTGAAAACAGATACCAAAGATGCCCAATTTAATGTAAATTGTAATGTGTCGTTGTCGTTCTGTTAACTTGAATACTCCCGTCACAATGATTTCATATCATAAGCAAAATACTAAGAATTATGTACAACTAGGTGGCCCGGCAAACTTCGTAAAAATGCCTAATGCCTAAAACACAGAAACCACACATTCCAATATAAGCAACGAAAAAAAACATTCCATTTAAAAAAAACCCAGTCTTTTAAAGATGCGCGCGAAAATCAACACCGCCATATTAGTTTAATAAAAAAAAATAGCATCAGAGCGCAAGTAAACGTGTGCAGTGTGTTCCAACGATAAGCCTCGTCGTCCCACTCATTTGATTTACTGCGAGACTCGACAAACAGCTCCAGACTTGCGTGGATAAATTCACCTTCATGAGTTCTGAAGGCTTAGTACAAGTTTGTTTTGCGTTTGTCGAGATCGAAACGTTACTGCGTTCGGCGTTGTGATTGGCCTGTTCCAATGAACCAACCAATCAGAGGGCTTGGTGCAGTAACTTTAAACATAAAACAAGCTCGTATTGGGCCCTCAGTTCCCGAGTTGCGTGGATAAATTCGCCTTCATGAGTTCTGTGACACAGCTTCACAGGTGTGTCATACCCTTCTTTTGCACTATTTCTTTTAGGATTTCCGGAGTTTAAGTGGGTAGGTTTATTAAAGATTTGTTCTTACACTTTTGGGAGTTTTTTTTGTTAGTTTTGCTGCATTGCGAGTGGGAGTTAGGATTTTTAAAAAGTGACGCAGAAGTATGCCTTCTAGTTTTTCTCCAAAATTAAGGATTCTACAAATTTCTCTAAAGATCTGTCAATCTTTGCAAGTAAAATACTTCGTGCAACCTGTGGAGACATGAGCTGACTGGGTTAGTCGCTCCTTTTTAATCGAAAGTTCTTATTTAACCAAAGAGGCCATTTAAAAACGAGTTACCAGAAAAACATACATTTATTTTTAAACCAATCCAATTTGAAGAAAAATAAACTGAAGAAAAAGAAGAGCCCGTTTTTATAAAAATAAACATACAAATGCCATGGTGCTATTTTCACTTATCAACTTCAGGATTTGGCAGAAAACCAACAAAGAATCAAATTTTTACACGGTCCCTAAATATAAAAATAACTGTAGGTACCAGTGCGTGGCGTGGGTATTTGTGGAACCACGATTTGTGTTTGTAAACGCCTACGATACAGAACAGATTCCATTTGGTACAATGGCATGGCAAAATCGTGGGTATTTTTTTTTTAAATCAACAAAAGTTTCTAATGTACCTACAAACTTCTTGGTTCATCGATTCTCTATGCTTCAAAAAATAAAATTCATTGTCATATTTGGCCGTCATATTAATTTTTATATTGCCGTTAATTGGCATTATGTACTCAATTTTTTACCTTATATTTTACAAGATTTACACTTTTTTTTCTATTTACACCTTTTTTAGTGTATTTTGAAACATTTTCCATAAAATGGATGTATACGGGGAGATTTTTATTCTCGAGAAGATACCACAGGCGGCGCCACGTTTGGACTACTTGAATATACGATGCGGGGCGAGACTCATTGCTATACTTGGAATTGTGAGAATGCCTATTTGATAATTTCGTCTTATCTTGAAACGTAAACGTTGTCTGTAGAACAAAAGGCTCGTTTTATGGCGTCTTTGGACTGAAAATCTAGGATAATAGCTAGGCGGGGCTGACGTGGAACGTAGGTGGAAGTGTTTCATGCGTAAGCCCGATTTGGTTTTTGCCTTTGTTCAAGTTTTGTTTAGTAAACGTTTCACTTTGTCTCCTTGGGAACAGTTCCAAGAAATACATGTATATTCCGGAGCAAAAAGTTGTTGCGGCATTTTGCAAAGGAATTGTGTTGTTTTGTAACAATTTCCGTAAGTCGTTCTAATGACACAGTAGAAATTAACTCCAACGTTTTGACATGTTATGTATGTTGATGTATTATTTATGAAGAAGGATATTAATGCACTCAATTTATACGAACCTATTAACACGTTAATAGATAGGTACTTTGGATGATAGAGTTTTAATTAATAGAAAGGGTGTGGAATTGCGTCTAAAATTAGCCAGGTTTAATCTGATAAGACAAATCTCACATCTAGCCCAACCTAACGCGGAGAACCTGACGGGTAACCGGTGCTCCAGCTCGAAGTGCAGGAGAAGGAACGGGGTGGTTTTTAGTCAGTAAGAGTCTGGCACTCCCTCCCGCATCACCCAGGCGGGAGCAGTCATTTGATGATTTTGCACCCTTGAAAAAAAAGCCCAACCTTATACAAAAAAGTCTACTATCAGTAAATTTACCACGTTTTACTATGTAACTATAGCTATGTATTTTTATTCCTAAACAAAACTTCACAGATAATCTGGGCTATCCACATTATTACCTCTCAACTGCGTTTAAGGCTCAGTAGACACAAATTGATACTTGATCGGATATGCATTGCTTGTAAAATATTAATTGGATTCCAGACGAACGTTACATCGGGGTCTGTACCTGGGTTAATAAATTACAGGTAACCTAAAACCGATGTATTAAATGGTTATGAATGTTTTAGATATGTAGAAAAGGCTAGCTTAGTGTTAATGGAAATATTGCTGTTAAGAACTACAGGACGTAGTTCGTTTCATGGTTGTTAGGTAAAAAATTATTACCTACAATATTGTGTTGCTTTGTACCTACATTATTATAATAGAGTTATATCAAAAAATCGAGCGATCGGACGGCGAGCATGGGTAGGTCGCCGTCCGACTAGAATCAGAGTGGAGCGTACCTACGGTGCGCCGCGTTCCGTACGCGCCTCAAAGAGCCATCAGACCACCATGGAGCCACGGAGAACGTACGTACCTGGGTTCCGCCTCGAAGTGCAGGAGTAGGAACGGGGTGGTTTTTAGTCAGTAAGAGTTTTTTTTAACAAAATTACTAAGTGATATTTTACATAGGCATGGCCTTAAATCTAAACTCGCCAAAATTACACGTTTGATGACGAGTCTGACACTCCCTCCTGCCTCACCCAACGGGAGAAGTCATTCGATGACTATATTTCCCCTTATCATCATTATATCCCCTTTAAAAAAAAATGACAAAACAATGTAAGCACTACGTATGCATTAGAGACGGTTATACGCTCTTGCCATTTCAGACTACGTGACAATTCGCAGTGATGGATTTGGTATTTAAAACCCTTTGGAAATAATCTACCTACAAAACAGTGCAATTAGACTTGACTCAGTATTATTTTCAGTGAAATAATCCTGACAATCAATTAATAGGTACCTGTTTAATTTATTTATAACAATAATAAAGTTACGGTTCAATGAACTATTAACGTCAGAGCTTATAATTTAACAGCAAACATGTGCACACATTCTGTTGTTGATATTAATAAAATTCTTAGAACTTCGGTTTATTAGCAAATAATTCTTCAATACTAAAATATTTCGCAAACGAATTGTAGAGAAAAATTCAATTCGAAAGATCTTATATATAATTTCTAAGAAAATATTTATTTTAGATTTTGTTTTCTAACTCTTTCGAACTAAAGTCCTTTGTGGCAACGACCCAGCTTTGAATGTGCTACTTGTGCATATATGTTAAGTTTTGCCAACTTGTAACTTGGCTTGCACTCACATTGCGCTATGAATTTCGATTTTTGATCTCTTACTGAGGTGGACTCGACAAGAGTAGATGACTAATTTTTACTCTAACGTCCACCTGGTAGATTATTTCAAAACATTAGACAAGTATTTTCAATGTGACGTCACTTCTAGGTACGTTTCATACCTAGAAATGACGTAGTTCTAGGTACGTTTCATACCTAGAAATGACGTAGCTAGCCCCCACTCACTAAAATTTGATTCGTTTTAAATTAGTATTGTTTTCCTTATGGAACAAAATAAAAAAAGTCGTGTCTAATATTTTTTGATTACCTAAGTGACGGACTAAATAGATATTTTTTTTCATACCTCATTATCATCCCCATTGCTAAACTTATTATAACTTAGTTTTAGTGTCCATCTCTTACTTGACTTTTCTCAATATTTGACTAAAACTATTGTTATTTTAATGTCTTGTATAATTTAAACTGTCAAACACCAAGCGATCACCGGTGACCGCAACCTATTGTTCTATAATTGTGTCTACAAAACCGGTACTCGACGAGTTAAACTGTCAAACACCAAGCGGTCACCGGTGACCGCAACCTATTGTTCTATAATTGTGTCTGCAAAACCGGTACTCGATGAGTTAATTATCTGTATTTAGAAGGATGCACCAATACCAATATAAATTTTTAGAGATGTTTGTCTTGAGAATATAATATAAAACTAATCAAGTTGACAATATTTATGGAATTGAATACAAAGATATGTAGGTCACAATAGTAGCAAAAGTTATTTATGAAGCGCATCCCGCTCGAGACTGCTTTTGATGACAAACAGTTTTGAAGATGTCCGTCGTTGCTAATTTCAGACGTTATGGACTGACTATTTTTGTTCTGACTGCCTCGTTGGCCGAGTGGTCACAAGTGCAACTGCCGGGCAAAGTATTACTGGGTTTTTTCAAAATTCTCAGTAGTAGCACGGAGTCTGATAAATAGTGAAAAGTGGGGGTTACATTGTATAGTGACATAATGTGCATGAGAACGAGTAACAAACAAACATATATACTTTCGCATTCATAATATTAGTAACTTTACAAAATACTGAAAGGCTTCTCAATTTTAATTTGTACTTAAATATCGTGCCATCTCTGTCATTTTACAATGAATTTATAGAGACAAAACTATGCTTGAGTGCGACTTAAAATAATAAATAATAATAATAAATAAAATATCTAGACTTAGCTTGCAAGGTTGTCGACATGTGGAGTCAGGAGAGGAGTGTGGATTCGGCTATCATAGTGCCGATAGTCGTGTCGGCCAATGGGTTAATCCCTAAAAGCCTCGACGTCCCTAGGTGAATGGATCAAGGGCCTGATATAGAAGGCAGTTCTCCTAGAAACGGCACGTATCGTGAGGTTTCTGTCTCTGGAGCCCTAACCACCGGTAGCTTGAACCATGCTCCCACTGCTGGTTGGCTCTTACTTTTTATATTTTAAATATTATATTTTATTTTCTAAATAGTATTTAAAGTGTAATTTGTAGAGAATTTTAAATAAATATAGTAGAATAATAATAATAAATCTTTATTCATTGTAATACATTGGCCACAGTACAGATAAGCATCTTAATTTAAAATCAGAGATCTAATTTGAAATGCCTGTACTAGGAAGAATATCATGTATCACAGGCGAAAGGAGCACTCACAATATTAATAAAATTGAGTGACTTTTGAGTATTTGGACATAGGCCTAGCGTACTTTAAGCATAAAATGATGTCTTTCTCAAAAAAACTATTACAACTATTTTAATCAATAGTTTTGATTCATATATTATTATCATATAGAAGTATATTAACAGTTCTTTTATGTTCTTTGTTTCAGTTATTCGGCGTCACAATATCAACAATGTTACTAATAAAGGACAGAAAAAACTTGACACCAGCCACGTTGATATTAGTCGTGTTCCTGTCAATATTTGTTATCGTCACAATCATGTTTGTCTTGGCTTCTGTCCTGCTATTAATGGCTGCCTTAGATGTGAGTATTATTGTATTGTATCACGCAGATGTGAAAGACTTATTTGAGTACATACATTGTCAATTTATAATATAATTTGTTATGTAAGAAAAATTTTAGGTTAATGACCGATTTCACCAACCATGTTTTAACTTAGAGTGACTTTGCGTGAGGTACCTAAACTTACACGTTATTTGTACTGTTAGATGTCAATTATAGGTTGGAAAAACCCAAAATTTCATTGAGTGTCACCTATCTTAACTTAGGGGTTCTTTAAAATTAAAGACAGGTTGGTGAAAACAGGCGCAAGAATACTCAAGGACATATACTTTTCCTAAATTAGCTAAAACTCGCATTAAGTCTCAAAAATTATTTTCTAATATTGTTTTTTCTCTTTCAGGAGAATCCCGACCTAATGTCCTATTACATTTGGTTGAGTATTGTGTACCTTTGTATACAACTAGTGCTTGCTATCATAATACCACTGCTGTTGATAGTCGAGGGTCGGTATCCACCAGTTATTGCACTCATATGGATGGTCATCGTCATGATCGTGGGTCTAGGTAAGTTTCAATAATAGAACTTTATTTTTTTCATGAGATAAGCCGCTAAACGGACTGACGGATCACCTGGTGGTAAGCAATCGGCGTCGCCCATGGTCACCCGAAACATCACAGGCGTTACAAGTGCGTTACCGGCCTTTTGGGGATTAGGAGTATGAGGATTGTGGATTCGGGGATTGGGGAGACTAGGGAAGGGGGGTAATTGGGCCTCCAATTTATAGTGTAGAAGAATCACAATAGTGCAAAAGAAGTGAACATTGCCATCAACAGCCCGTGATAGTCCTCCTTCATGTCATAGGAGGGCGCGTAGACCGTGTTTATATCGTTTTAGTCCCGATAAAAATGGTTCTGTGTAATTCAATAATTTGTCATAGAAATAAAATGTTTAAAAAAATAACTGGTAAACCATTGTTAAAATCAAACTTCGAAAGCGAATCACGCAATTTATTACTCGGCGGACGGCACGTGCGATGCAAATAGTGCCAACAAAGTTATGTACATCTAGTGTTTCATGTGCGTAAGTCAATGAACATTTATTTGTTTTTACAGTAACTATCGTTAGAAATACGAAATTAACTAATAATCGCGGGTTACTCACGTGAATATACTGAGAAAAGCTCTACTAGTTTCGAACCACAGAGGTGTTCTTCCTCATGAGCAGCGTGCGCGGTCGCGGCTATGTGACAGTAGGCTGCGCAACATCGACAACTAGTATAGCACTTCTCAGTATATTCACGTGAGTAACCGCGATTTTTAGGTAATGCACATTTTTTTACTAAAAAAAATTACAACTTTATCATTCTTACTTTATACATCGAATGTACTCCTTATAACAATTGGTTTCTGCGGGACAAAAACAAAATAAATTTCACAGTGTATATCGTATAACCTCCATGCTTGGCAGTCGGTTAACCATAGCAATTTAAAAGGTTTATCAAAGAGTGATCAAGATGTAGATAATTGCGATGATGCCATGGTATGAAAATTTAAAATCTAATTACTCCGTAAATTAGGTGTGGGGGCTAAAACGTCATTTCTACGTATAAAATGTACATAGAAGTGACGTCACACGACATTTGAAATCAATATATCGTCGAAAGTATTCGTTTCTGTAAGAAAATAAAAAATTCGTGTCTAATGATTTAAAATACCCAGACGGGCATTAAAATAAAAATTAGTCATCTACCCTATTATCTCAAATCAAAATTATATCTCTAACATGACTCTGACAAAACATGACTTCAATACATAGTATAAAACAAAGTCGCTTTCGCTGTATGTCCGTATGTATGCTTAGATCTTTAAAACTACGCAACGGATTTTGATGCGGTTTTTTTTAATAGATAGAGTGATTCTTAAGGAAGGTTTATATCATGCATATTGCACCCGTGCGAAGCCGGGGCGGGTCGCTAGTCATCGATAAATCAAATTACCAATTTTTAATTGTGTTATATAACAATGTTAATTATAAGTTTGTATATTAAGTGACAACATTATCGCATTGGGTGTAACCTGTTAGGATGTAATTAGGATTTATTTATTTAAAACAAGTAAAATAAATAAATAAAATTAGTTTTTGATACATGATTCGTTTCATACAATAAAAAAAACCGTACAAAAAAGAGTGAAAAGTGTATCTCTCTCTGTCCCATTTTCGCTTCAAATGTGATAACGTCAGAGTCCATATTGGACTATATTTTTTTATTTGCCAGTTACCATTATCCTTATCTTACCCTTATATGGTACTTAGCACAAAATTTGAAAGGATTTCGGCCAGTTTTGAGTGTATGTGAGAGTAATAACTGGCTCCCTCTGAATGCGTTTGTAGACAAGTGATCTCAAATGTGATTGCAGAGCATAAGGTCCCGTGATAATATCCGGGTTGAAGGAATGATGTAGTATTACACATGATTTTTATGTTTTCGAATGTGTTTTAATGTTTCGTTTTCGAAAATCTTATATCTATATAAATAAAAATGAATTTCTGTTCGTTAGTCTCGCTAAAACTCGAGAACGGCTGAACTGATTTGGATAATTTTAGTCTTGATAGATTCGTGGAGGTCTAGGGAAGGTTTAAAAGGTGAGAAAAAACTTTTAGGCGGTACAAGGTTTGCCGGGTCAGCTATAAATATAATAATAAATAAAACTTTATTCATAATAACAAAAATGCAAAATTCGAAAATATATCTAAATTACGTACAATTGACCTCAAATAGTTAGATGCCTGCACTAGGACAATCCTGTATCGCAGGCGAGAGGAGTTCTAAATATAATTTTTACAATAGCACATCTTATTTCTATAAACACAAATATTTATCAGTATGCAATAAAAAAAAATATATATAATGATTATTTTAATATACATACATTCAAACATACTTACATACAAAACATAACCTCATACCCTATATTCTCAGAAAAGATAGGCTGAGGTCCATAACTAATCGTAATATAATATTATAATGTATCTAATAAATATACATACGTAAACAATATAATTATAAATCAGTTCGAAAATAAAACTATCACTATTGCCGAGGAATTAACATGCATCAGCAGAAACATATACTAGGCTAAAGTCCATACGGTCATTCACTTGGTTCTTAATTTCACAATAATAATTGTGCTTATTCAGCAACAGGGCGATGAATAATCATATGTTTGATATATAGGTAGTGTTGTGCAAGGAAATACTTCGGAAGTGTCATCAATTCGGTAATGTGACCTAGACTAGAGTATGACGCATTATGTGCCCTCGTAGTCAATCGAATTGATGTACCTGAGTTCTGCTATCTTCCTAGCAGGGCACTCAGGGTCTCCCGTTTTATGATCACTGGGCTTATTAAAGCGAGAGCAAGAGGCACATTTTGAAGCTTCTACTTTTTTCGTGCACGCAGATGTTACATGGCCCATTTCTCCGCAGTGTCCACATGACGAGAGGTCTCTGCATGTTTTAGCGGCATGGCCATACTGTTGGCATTTGTAGCACCTGGTAACTAATGTATAATCTCTCACAGGGCAAGAAGTCCAATTTATGTATATCCTTTCTTGAGTTATGAGGGCTTTGCGGATCTTAGCTGGAACCTGTATGATGAAATTGCAGTTCGCTGTATCTTTCTTCCCGGATTTATGGCTTAATTTGATGTTGCTTAAAAAGGCTTCCAGTGACATCTCCGGAAAATTTTCAGCGACATTTTGCTCATAGAGACACTTTAATACGTCAGTATCAGTCATAGAAGTGGGCACTCCTACTACCGTTATTCTTGGTTGGCGCTTGTTGGGCTCACCGGTAATAAGTCCAGTCGACGAAAGGTTAACTGCCTGCTTTACCTTCTCAACATCTTCCTTGGTCTCAGTGCTAATTATCACACCACCGTTTTGAATTTTCCTGACTCCACGCACATGTAGTTTCATTTGATCCGGGCGAATGATTTGCTGAACTAATGTTTTAGTTTCGTCACTAGATTTTAATTTGTTGACAGGGTAAATGGCGACAGAGCTTAGATTACTGGGTTTTATGTAATCATTTGACCCTTTTTTTACCATATCAGCAAAGGACACGTTTGTTGTTGCGGGAGAGGTCTTAATTGTTTCTTTTAATTCAATGATTTCTTCTGCTAGGTCTCGTTTTTCGTGAAGGTTGTCAATTATGTCGATTGCTTGGTTAGCCTTTTGCTTCAGAGACTGGTATAGGACTGCCATTTGAGAGACGCCAGATCCTATTTTGCGGCTCAGGTTACTGATTCTTAGTTTCTGCTCCGAATTCAGTTTGCCTTCCGTGGCAATAATGCAGACCTCATTTAGTTGCTTCTCGATAGATGACATCCATTTTTGAAGTTCTGATGTGGAGACTACTTCAATATAGAAGTCAGATTGATGACTTTTTACTTGTGAAGCACAGGCCCGGATATTGCTGGGGCTGTTATCCATTTTTAAATCAGTTTATGTTTCCATATTAGTACGTAAACTTCGCAGTAGGCAAAAATTTTAAAGGAGGTCACTATGTATACGTTAATACAATTTTGTTATTTATGCGCACGTCTGTTCACTGCAAGGGCAGCCGAATGAATCAAGCTAGTCTATATATACCTATAAAAATGAATCCCTTTTTCCCTTGGTCACGGCATCACGCGTGAATGGGTGGACCGATTTCACTATTTTTGTTTGTTGTATTTGTTATTATTAGGAGAAGGTTATTAAGACATAAATATCCTGAAAATCTTACGGGAACGGGAGAAAACGGGATTGCGCGTACGAAGTCGCGGGCAGAAGTTATTGTATTACAAACCCATAACATCACGCCTTTTATCCCCGAAAGGGTAGGCAGAGGTGCACATTACGGCACTTAATGCCACTGTAATGTAACACCCACTTTTCACTATTTATGTTATGAGTCCCATATAATAGGGGGTGAGCCTATTGCCATATACCAGACACAGTTCCAGGCTCCGTGCTACCACTGAGAAAAACCCAGTAATACTTTGCCCGACCCGGGAATCGAACCCGAGACCCCTTGCCCGGCAGTCGCACTTGCGACGACTCGGCCAATGAGGCAGTCAAGGCAGTATTACAAACCCGTTCTACATAAAATAGGACTCATAACGTGATCAGTAGAATATAACACTTATATATAATAGTGAGCATTTATTTATACCATTTTAAAGAAAAGTCTCAGCAATCTAATATTTCGTTAATCAGGAAATATAAATACATTATTTAACCTAAAAATATCCTAGTCTAATAAATGCTAAAATATCGTTTTATATTCATAATACGAAATCCCTTTTTGATCTCGTAAAATGGATGGTCGAAATATTTTAATTAACAATTTAAAAATTCATTTAGTTTCGTGTACCTAATACCTACCTATACCTAAGGGTGCGTCCACATCTGGCGAATGCGCAACGAATGTGCCGCTTGCGAGCCACCCACGAGCTGCGCGTGTGCATTTAAAATTATTATTTATACGTACCTTCTATGAGTTGAGCGCCAAACCATTGCCGTGCTTTCACGCGCGTAGCTCGCGGACAGCCCACAAGCGGCTCGCGAGCGGCATATTCGCCAGATGTGTACGCACCCTAATATCTAGAAGATTTCTATAATAAAACATATTTCATTTGTTTCAGGGTGGACGCATTTTATATCTGTGGTCAGCTCATACAGATTGAGTCTTCTAAGTGCAAATCAATTTTAATACACTATACATCGAATTTTGTATTTTATTTTTATCTTCAGCTGCTTAAGGAATTGGTATGTTACTTGTAACTCAAAAAGGGTAGTAATCAACATCTTTAATAGCTGTTGGCTACTGCTGGACTATTTGGCTGATGTTAGGGACGACATCGACGTCTACGTCATCGACGGGTTAATAAAGCATAAGGATCACTTCTGTCTGGTCTTTGTCAGTATGTAGTGGCTTCGTCAGAATTTTATGGTACCCACTCGGGAAGAACAGGTCATATAAATAAATAATAACAAACAACAATTGATATAGTAAAATAACATACATTTAGCTTCCAAAAACTAAGTCTCGAAAATGTTCAGATCAAAAATAAATCTTTGTAAAAGCAACGAGGACGTACTTACAGACAGAATAACTCTTGCTATGTGTGATAAGACATATTATCGAGCAGACCCATCCCCACTCTTGACAGATAGCCACCTTCGTCAAGTGTTTATTGGCCTGAGCTCAGATCTTCAACCGAGGTCCCAAAGTAAAAGAAAGCTTTTCTTTGCTCAAGATTTTTTGACTGATTTTATGATTTGGGCATTTTCGTTATTGTTATTAAAATGAGTTAATATAAGATTTTTTGTTGAAGGTAAAGTTATCTTTCATTGTATTAAAAAAATATAAATGTAAAGTAAAATTATACTGTAAAGCCCACGCCTTACGGTCTATTCAAGATACCTCTAAAATTTTTATTCGTAAAATATGGCTATAAATCTGAAATGCACTTACATTGTACAGATCAAGTGAAAAAAAAATGATAGATATTCAGCTTAATTTCTAAAAAGAGGCCATACAAATGTTTGGAAAAAAATAATATTACGAAAAACGAACCTCAAATAATAATAACCTGTACAAATGGCGTACCTACTTATAAAAAAATAATTGACTCCCTATTACATGGGACTCATATTCATAATTGTGGGAGAGCCATCCTTCGGCACGAATGGGTCGGCTCGAACGGAGCGATACCACGGCCTCACAGAAAACCGATGTGAAACAACGCTTGCGTTGTGTTTTATCGTGTAAGTGAGATTACCAGCGGCCCAATTATCTCCCCCATATATAAGGTACTATGTAAAAATTTATCTATTTAAAATCGGTAAGTATAAAAACCTATTAAACATAAAAACTCATAGCGTATCTCATTCTGCTTCACCAAAAACGACCAACATTGTACATAAAATTATCTTGTACCACACGCTAAAGCGCAGTCCACTATGGCATGTGGATTTTCAGGAATCTCGCGGGAGCCAACGCGAGCTTATTTATACTCTCCTGATTAAAGAGAGAGCGAGCGACCGAGTGTATGGTAAACAGGGTGTTTTATTTTCCACTTTATTTAGTTAAATGCTATGTAACGCTGGATGTAGTGCGGTAATACCCGTGATTTAAGTGCCGTATTTATGCATTGCTGTTTTATTTTAAGATTTTGTAGTCTTTTGAGTAAATTGAAGTACCTTTTGTTCGAATTTGTTGTAAGGATAGAATTCTTTGTTCGATAAATAATGTAAACCAACGAAATGTTATTTTTGAAGTTCTTAAGCCCGAATACTGAGGTACCAATTTTAAGTTGTACTAAAATATCGTGCCATCTCTGTCATTTTACATAGAATTTTAGTATAGAGTAGTGACAGAAGAGTATTGTATACTTAAGCGCGGCTTAGAATTGAGTAGTGTTTTAGTATTCGGGCGCTAAGAACATATTTTGACGTGACAAAGCACTGATATGACTGTAAATTACCTATAGTCTTTTAGGCAAACAAATAACTTTATACCTTATTTTAATGACCTATAAATTAAAAACACAACATCCCGAATATGTATCTATCTTTAAAACATTTCAGACCTTAAAAAAAGTATTAAAAGTATAGTATAATGAGCCTAAATCTAAATTATTTGCACATTTTAATGAGTATTAATTAAGTTTTTAGCCTGATTTATATCTTATAACTTTACTTAGACTTCATTAGACTAGTCTATTAAGGTATCCTTTATTAAAGAGTTTGGCCTTGGATTTCTTGGAATTTTCGTTTTCATATTGAAAATATTTAAAACTGATATTCTACTGACCTTAAAATGAGTTAAGTGGTGTATGTTCAAAGTCATATTGCTTATACTTAATTTTATACAAAATTTGATTACAATTCTGACAATCACGTTCAATACCTAGATGTGACTGTTAGTTTTCAAATAAACTCAGTAGCATCGAGTCTACAACTGGAACAATTTCAACAATTTTACTCGGATTTTTGCAAGTTAGAAAAAATACAATAAGAATGTAGAATCGCAACATTAAGACAAGTTTGTCACTTTTCATCGTTGTGTAAACCACATTACTGAATTGATGCCAATAACACTAACTCAAAACTCAAATGTATAACAAACATTGATAGATACATCACAAGCGCTTCGCACAACTAACCACATAACATAAAGGCCTTACGAACTTAAGCATGGTGGAGTAATTAACCAAATGTAGAGATTTATGCATAACGAGGATGCGAAATTCACCTTTAATATCAAAGAGAATGTTCGTTAAATGAGTCGTCAACGATATTAATTCCGTCCCATTTCACGATAACAATCTGTTGCGTTGGTGTACCAATAAATTCAGGGGTGAGTTATGTTTCTGCCAGCGACAGAGGGTGCAAATGGAAACCATGATCATTTTACTAAATTTATTATAATTAAAATTACATGGTAACTCCTAAAGTCTAACTAACCTAAGTGCGAATGCGTTCGATGTTAGAACAACACTGATTTCTTTTCTTAAAATTATTTCGAAAGAAGGTTTTCAATAAAACCTATTGAGGTTAAATTTAGTGGGGTGATTGCTAATGCAGCGATTCGCAGCTGGGCACGAGGCGGTGACATGAGGTGACGACTCAGCAGTTTGGGTGTTGCAATACTTCGTTGCACCAAAGTAGGTCTAATGTCCTGATTCAGCAGATATGGTCTTCGTGGCTCGGCGTTGATCACGGTGTAGGTACA